AAGACGAAGCTGGAACGGGCAACGGCTGCAAAGGAGAAGGAGCAGGCTCTAAAATTACCCTAGATCCGGCTCAAAGATGATGGAGCCGGCTCTATTAGGGACTTGGAGCCGGCTCAATGTTGAGGGAGCCGGCTCTAAGTCAAAAGTGGAGCAGGCTCAATGTTTTTGTTGAGCCTGCTCTTTCTTGCATCGCACAGTAATGAGCTTTAGGCGCTGTTTGGGCTGTGCAGTGTTTTCTAAAGCTGTTTAAATGCTATGGTAAGGTATAATTAAATGTTAGGAACTTAATTAAATATTGAAAACCTTTAGTACAATAATGGATTAAGGAAAGGAGTAATTAACAGCTCAAAGAAACGTCCATATGTTGCATTGTTTGGCTAAGGAAATTAATTACCGGAACTTAGCAATTTGTTGGTATATGAGTTAATTATATTTAATCATATTTTCCATCATGTAATGAACGCAGTGAATTAGCTGTATATTTAACTATGATTGGTTTGGAATGAATTGGTACTTAATGGCTGTTAAAAGGTATCAGTTTATGCACTGTATGTAGAATGTAAATACTATAAAATATTTAGCTTTTTAAATTGTTGGAGTGTGATACCCCTCGGATCCGAGACACGGGTTGATCAGGCCCAGGCCCAAACCTGAGGGAATATCAAACAATTAATATTTTATAACGAACATGGAATACAAAATGAATTAAGAAATGAAAGTTTAAAGCTGAAAAGAAAACTAAAAGATAATCCTTAAATAATTAAATACGTAAATTTGATAAACCAAATAACCATAATTTGAACAACTCGGGAATCCATCTCTAGTGGACCCCTAATAAAAATCTCACACTGAATGAAAGTAAAATGAAAGATAAAATCCAAATCCAAGATCTGGAAAGAAATCCTACATCGTCGGTAGAATGGAAGATCGTCTCTACTCAGCACGAACAAGCTCAAGCCTGGAACTGACTTACACCTGAAAAATAGGAGTGGGTCAAGCCCACGAACAAGTTCTATCCTACTACAATCCAAGCAGAGACTCGATATGCATGTACATACTAAATAGTTCAACAATAACTAATAATCCGTACATAAATATATCCACACTACTGGACTCTCGCTAGGCCATGAAGGGGGTCTCAACCTGGATAGAAGGCATCACACAATACGCACCTGAGTGGGTATGAGTACCTAAACCTAAACAGGGTATACCTCAACCTTCACAGTCAGCTACACATCCAACTGCATATACGCACCCTAACCGTCGACACTGAGACTCAAGCTCATGACATGGTAACATAAAAATATATCTAAACTCCGTTTCTAACCATCCACAAGAAATCCAGTAAGTCACTCGGCGTATTCAACCGTACCGACTTATATATATAAGGAGGATTGTATTTTATAACCCGTGCCCTTACTCCAAAATAGGTAGGACTTAGCAATTTGAGCTAATCCAAACCTAGTATGTCACCGTCCCATACCGGTACATACAATCCAATCCGTCCAATAGTTGATAAAGCATATACAAGTACATAACAATATCAACGAGTCCATATCAAGCATATCAGAATGTATTAACAACCGTTCTTGAATAGTCCCAACAAATTGATTAACATTGGAAACATAAATATCAATATTAATTACTCTATTCCACGCATTTAAATAATTTATAAATGCCAAAACCAACAATTCCAACCTAACCATGTTAGAATAGATTAACCATCATGCTTTAATAAATCCAACCATTGATTAAGTACTAACAGTATCAGTGTCAAAACCCACAGTTCCAAACTAAGCACATTAAAGTATACTAGAAAAACATGCTTAATTAATCCAACAATAAGCCATTACTTGATCACCCACAGGACTGTGTCTGTAAATATAAGTTTATTCTCGGTATCCATAATTAACAGAGCTTAAACAAATGTTATAATATTTATTTCCATGGCATGCATAATAAATCTAGACAATTTATCATACTGTTAAGCTCCTATTCAACAAAATTGACGAATTAAATGTTAAGTTTAATCATCAATTAATCTTTAGCAAAAATACAGATTCCTTGTATGTATGTATATTCTAAGAATTTGCAATTAGCAGTGCACAAACTCTCACAAGAAATTTTACATTATAATCTAGAAGTTAGAAACTCCAAATCCACACAAGTCTACAAGACATTCGTAATTAACTCCATGTAATCCTAATGATTAATGCTTTGTGTCCAATTCTATGTTAATCTGATCTTTGAATATTTATGTTTACTCTAGACCACTCCTAAACCATCCATTACAGTATTCATTCTCCACTAAAACATATTAAAACAATCACTATGAAGCCTAATCACTGAAAAGTGGAAAAACAAACAACAGAACCAAAAACCCACGTAGAAAACAACCTGGAGCCGGCTCCAGAATATTGGAGCCGCCTCCAATGGCCTTGGAGACGGCTCCTAGACCATTGGAGCCGCCTCCAATCCAAGGAGAGCCGGCTCCAACCCAATAGGAGCCGGCTCTCTCCCTCCTCTTCTTCGTGTTCTCTTTTCCAGTCGTCGTTTACGCCTCCGACACTTCACAGTATAGGTTTTCAGAGAATTTAACTTAATCCCAGAAGATTCCAACCTTTAATTCAGTCCTTATTATGCTACCAATATGGATTAAACCAAGAATTAACAAGAAAGTTCAAAGTTAACCAGTTTAACAATTATAAAACAAATTCAGTTTCAGTTAAACTCTAAACATGAAACAGATAACGTTTTTATTTTTAAACATGTAATTCATCCTGGAACTATTGAGTATGCAAAGAACACGAGTATAAGGGAGAAAGTAAGGTTAGAACTTGCCTTTGAGATCTTTGTCCAAAAATCTCTACGCCGTCTCTAAAGTTCCGACGAAAACCAACGTGAACACTCTCTATTCTTCCTTTGTCTCCACAGTCGTATACTTGGTTTTGTTATGTTTCTCAAACCCTAACCAAACATCTAACATATATTTATAGGATTTTACTAAACCCTAAATTAATTCAAGCCCCAACTGAAATCCTAACCGGCCCATCCGACATACTGAGAAACCTATGACGGCTTACAAACTGATTAAAAGTAAAACCCTACTCATTAAATCAAGACAATTACCAATTTAACCCTAATTATTAAATCAAGACAATTACCAATTTAAATTTACAATAAAGAATTAAATATAACACCATTACAATTAAACACATAACTAAACAATTAACTTAAATAATCACAATTAATGTAAATAATTCAAATAATTAATTAAACCAAAGAAAACAAATAAACCAACTAATTAATTCAAATAACACAAATAAGTCAAGTAAATCAAATAATTAAAAAGTCAATTAAAACATAATTCAAAACAATTAATGAACCAAAAACAATTAATGAACAGAAAACAATTAAACAAAATACCGAGACTATCCTCTTGAAAATTAGGGGTATTACATGGAGTATGATAATTAGGTTCTGAAATGAATACCTAATGTTGATATGTATGTATGAATTCATATTGGTGCATAGTTTGGAGGATGGAAGTTAATTATATAGTATTGTTTTAGTAACTATGCTGTATTGGAGGATTTGCTAGTTTTAGATATTGGAGCTTAACAAGGTTGTTAAATATGATTTGAATATATATAATAAATCATATGTCCATAGTATTGTAAGTATAGTGAATTAACCAAAATTATCTATGCTCAGCTTGGGTGAAATTGATACTTAAAATATTTATTCACTATATCAATTCGTGGACTATGATGGAGTATGTGAATGCTTGAATTTATTATAGCACTTTACATTATTGAAATTAGCTTTTAGGCCCCGTAATGAATGCCTAATATTTATGTATATGCATTAAATTATCTTGCACATATTCTGGAGTGTGGTTGATAACTACTTAATATTGTATGGTTAACTGTGTTAATTGGAGGATTGTATGTACCGGTATGGGACGGTGACATACTATGTATGGATTAGTTCAAATACTAAATCCTACCTAAATTGGAATGAGTTGGATTAACCATAAAAAAAAAGTTAAGTCCTACTTATATGGATGTATATATATGAACCGGTATGGGACGGTATCATATTGGGGGATGGCTTAGCTTAGAATACTAAGCCTACCTAAATTTGGATTAAGGTATGGATTAATCATAAAGGTTAAGTCCATCACCTACATGTGTCATATCAATTGTGAATTGAAAGACTTACTATGGTTTTAGGATGGATTTATTATACAGATATCAGACCACTACACAGATGGATGATATTTTGTATTAGGAGGAGTACGGACTTTATATATTTATTATATGTGCCATGGTATGAGCCTGAGTCTCAGGACCATGGTTAGGGAGCGTATATCGTCTAGAATGGATAACTGGACATAGGTGTTGTCCCCTGGTAGATCTAGGTACTCATGTCCACCTTAGGGTGCGTATTTGCATGTTACCTTCTATTAAGGCTGAGACAGACCTACTGGACTAGCGAGCGTCCTATAGTGTGTATTATATATACATATATGGACTACTCTAGATATTGTTGAGTCTTTCTAGGATGTATCTGCGTATCGGATTACTATTTGGATCGTAGTAGATCAGGACTTGCATGTGGGCCTGACCCACTCTATTATTTTTCAGGTGTTCGACAGAACCAGTCTTAGAGCTGGATTGTGTTGATGCAGATACTAACACTTACTCTTCCGGTTACATAGGATTTCCGTTATATTTTAAATTTTGGATTTTAATTCTGTAAATTTATTCAAGGTTTTGGGATTAGGGGTCCACTGGGTGGATTCCCGAGTTGTACGGTTTTAAATCATATTAATTTATTTATTTCAAGTTTGAGGATTCTTATGTTAGATTTCTTTCAGCGTATTATTAATTTGTTCTTAATTCAGTTTTATTTCTGCTTGTTTACATATTAATTGTTTGGTATCCCTCGGATCTGTGCTCGGACTTGATCACCCGTGGCTCTAGAATCGAGGGGTATCACACGTTCGGACTCAGACATCTCATCACTTGGTGCAGGGTCGATGGGACTCCTTGTACCCTATGAATCCACCCTCTCCCCATCAACAAATTGTAAGAGGGATGGATCTCCACCACCACAAAGCTCTCGATAAGCTTCCTTTTGGCTGCCCGGACAAGCAGTTCTACTGTGTCGATCGGTTCAACTCGTTTTCCATTAAATCCCAACAACGGATTCCCAGTACATTTGAGCTCCTCTAGCTTGATTTCTAGCCGATCGAAAGTGACTCTAGGCATGATATTGGCATTGTTCCCTGGATCAATTAGCATTCTTCGTACCAAACACTTTACCACTGTTAAACTAACGACTAGGGGGTCTTCATGTGGAATCTGAACTCGCATCAGGTCTGCTTTATCGAATCTTATCTGCGTTGATGCACTTTGTTGGTGCAGAGTGTTGATACTGCCTATTCTCCTCTTCATTTGTGCTTGGCGAAGATGCGTTCGGAGCAATTCTTCAGATTCTTCGGTTCATTCAGGTCGACCGTGAATTGCATTTATAATCCGAACGGGCTGAGTGTTATGGTGATTCGGCTTTTGATTTCTATTGACTTGCTCAATTGGTCGATTCTGCTCTTATGCTAGCCTTTGAACATATCCTGCAAACTCTCCCCTAGCGATCAGCATCTCCAATTGCCTCCTAAAGTTCCTGCATTCATTAGTCTGATGACCAAAATCACTATGAAAAGCACAATGTTTAGACTGATCCCTCTGTTCGAGAGGTTGTCTGATTGGCAAGGGAGGACGAAACTTATCTTTATTTTCTTGGTATAGCCTTGCCAGTGTAACTTTGAGTGGAGTAATCAAATCATCCTCTCTGGGCCTCTTCTCTGCCTTCCAAGAGGTCTGACGCTGCAGCGGAGCTTGCTTCTGTTATATCTTGGCTTTGGATTTCTCTTATGTGGAGATGGTAGATGTCTTCCTAGCATTAGCTGCTTCCTCCTCTTCCAGACGCACGAAACCATCAGCTTTCTCATTTAGCTCGTCTATTGTCTTCGGCGTGTTCACCACTAAACTTGTATGGAACGGTGTCCCTCGGGTCATCGCTAACTTGGACGCTCGAACTGCTGTGGAAGGATGACACTCTATCACCATGCTCTTGGTTAGGTTGAACCTGGTAAAAAAGGCTTAGAGACGCTCATCCTCATGCTGCTTCATAGTGAACAGACTAGAGATATCTTTTGCCGGGCGCTTATTCCTATAGTACTGGCTTATGAATCGATCACATAAACTATGAAAACTGTCCACTGAACCCCTCGGTAGGTTCTTGAACCAGTTGAGCGCCGGCCTAGCTAAGCTTGTAGGAAAGCATTTGCATATCAAGGGATCATTCTCCGTGTTCAGTGCCATCTTCAACTGAATGTGATATACATGATCAATCGGATCGGTTGTTCCATCGAACGGAATAAAAACAGGCATGGAAATCTTCCTCGGGCTCGGAGCATTCAGGATCTCGTTAGTAAACGGTGAATCAACCGTCTGTGCTGCCGAACGGAGGGCCTCATTCTCTTTTTTAAACCTTGTGACAATTCTTTGATTTGTAGGTTTTCTTTCCGAGCTCCTATAATCATATGTGGCTATTAAAGGCCGATAAGGTGGATCGAACGACCTTTCCTCAGTGAACTTTTTCTGCCGCGACAAGTTAATCTTATGACAATCAAACTCCATATCCTGTTCGCGATTGTGCCTTTCCTGATGCAGATTGAAAGCTGTAGCTTTTTCCCGCCTGATCTGCTCACGATGCGGATCTGGATGTATAGATCCTTCTCGATCTCAACTCGACGAGCATTTGGTGGTAAATTCTCCATCCTGACCTCCTCACGGTGGAAATCAACGTGGTTATCTCCCTCTTGCTCACCTTGATGTGCTTCATCAGGCCGCACGCTTTTTTCACCCACCGGAAGCAGTCGCGGCGCAACCGGAACCTCTTGGCGCTCCATTCCAGCTCTCAATTCTGCATTTCCTTTTCTCAAAGCTTTTATCATGCTCATCAGTTCATCAAGCTTCATCTGCTGGCCATTCTCCACTGGATTTGAACTCTCTTCTTCGATCATCATTCCGGATCGTAGCAAAGTTATTAACCGCAAATTTCTGATCAGATCTGAACTTCGCCAATGCGAACGCACTAGATCTGGATTCTAGTTTAGCTGAATTTCGATCGTGAATGGCCGGATCTGAGTTTTCCGGTGACGAACTTGCCAAATTCAGCAATCTCAACAACTCTCGAACGCGCAGCTCACCAGAACAAGCACAAATCAGAGCTACATAGATCGAACGTCAACCTCTCAAAATCAACTGGATTCGAGATTCGGCCAGACAGATCACGATTTCATTGATCTTGATTTTGCCTTCAACGATCGAGCTTCGTCTTCATGAACTACACTGGATCGAATCAATCTGAATCAAACATCAATCAATCCTCATCAGTTCCCACAGACGGCGCCATTGAAGATGCAATAATTTTCTCTCTCTAAATTGACAGAGTTTCATTACACTTCAAACATTTCGATCCCTCATCTCCTCTATTTTTTGTCTATTTATAGATTATTTACAGTGTTCTAGAAGATTCCTAACTAACTTCCTCCATTGGGCTCGTCCTCGAGGCTTTTATAACCATGGGCCTGATCGCCTTTAAAGGCCTCTAGCTTCACTCTTCAGCATTGGGCTTGCTTGATGACAGCTCGATTCGGACTCAGGTCATTTACCAGGCCCATTCTTTATCATGTGGGTTGGATCCGGCCCATGCTGCCTTTGGTATCCTCAGCCTATAAACAAGACAGCACTATGGAAGAGTCCAAACAAACACGAGGTATTGCTTTTTGTATAGGTGCATGTATCAAAGTCCCTTCCAACACTGGAGAAATTATCAGTTTGGACAATCCTACCAAATTTTATATTAAAAAAAATTGTAATGAATTTAACTATTTTATTTTAATGGAGTTTTTGTATTGATTAATAATGGATAATATCATTATAACAATTTTTGATGGCTCACTATGCAACCCACTTGTGAACCGATCAATAACGCAGCATGTATCTAGTAACCCACTGATATTTTACTCATAAATATGTAACCCACTACAATTCTTTCCATGTAATATTTACTTTCAGGTTATGTTCCAATCTATTTCATCATATAGCTCTCAGTTGAGGTTTTAATGGAGTTCCATTTCCTACCCATCTTCACATTTCTTTCAGTGAGTTTCTAAACTTTCTCAAACCAAAGAAAGAAAAAGAAAAAGAAAAAAAAAAACATTATCTTTGAGTTCTCTATTATTATTATTATTATTATTATTTTTATGTAAATTTATCTGAGGGTTAATTCAGTGCACGAGGCTTCTGTCAGTGCTTTATCTTTTGAACTCATGACTCCCTAATCATAAAGAAAAAACCTTAGTATTGTGCTAAAGCTTTCTATATATATACACTCCTTATATGATATTCTTAATTTGTTTGTTTCCTGTAGAAACTGTATGAGAATTAGCTAATGAGATCATTTCTACTTTTTCGTTGCAGCTGGCACTAGTGGCAAGCCATGCAGCTTTAACTCCCCAAGCTTACTAGAAGTCAATGTTGCCAAACACTCCTATGCCGAAAGCTCTCATGGATCTTCTCCACCCTGGTTTGTTTTAGAATCCGAATTTCTACATGATTTAACAAAGAGTAGAGATCGATACGAAGCCCAAACACTCACAAGTCCCTATAAGACTAAAGTTACAAGGGAAGTCTTATCCCACATCCAACGATGGGCGTCCCACATCAGCCAATTTTCTTTTTCCTTGATGATCAACAAAATATATCAAAAACTTATGTATAATGAGCAACATAGTTCACTTTCTTTCGTAAAGTGCACTTTTTGGGAGTTCATTTCATAGAAAAACCTGTATTAATTATGCTCAACAAGGAACTGTATATCCTCCATGACTGTTGCACAATTTGCAGAGGACAAGAAATTCTATATGATAGTTTTTGCATCCCATTCAAGGTCAATTCATTGGAGCCGCCACTTGATTATTGATTTTATTTCCATTTAACAGACAATTGCTCAGCCATGGATGTATCAACTACATGATCCCAGTAGGATATTTCCCTCTTCCAAACTGCACCAGTAGAGTTCCTAACCAGTACTCACCCATTAACAATTCCCATGCCATCCACAGCCTCATATTTTTTCAAATGGCTGCCTTAAGTAATCCGTAGAACTGAACTGATTAGATCCAATCTGTTATCCCACAGATCGGATCGGCCTGGCCACATATTCAGAACGGATTGATATTTTTCCAATCCATTGGAATCGGATCCGATTAGGATTAATGTCAAATCCAATCCCATCCAATCAGTGGCCAACCCTAGTATATATATGTTTTCATTTGTTTTTTTCTAAGTGTATTTATATCTAAACATTTTTTTTTTTCTTTTTCCATGTTTTGTTTGTTATTATTTATTTATTTTTTAAAACATTATGAAACAAATTTAGTTACCAAATATATTTCACTTCCAAAATAAATCACAGCACAACAAGAAGGAAGAGGAAAAAGATAGATGTCACATATTCATGTTTTTTTATACCTATCTCAAATGACGTGGCATAATATATTATATAGGGTAAAGTGCAAAAAACCCCCTTCAACTATTGGCCATATGCAATTAACCCCCATGAACTACAATTTGCCCCCTTAAACTATTGAATTAGGTGCAATTAACCCCTAATGTGAAATCTCCGGCCAATTGCTGTAAACGGAAATAATAAAAGATAATTTTACCCCTTACATAAAACTACGCTGTTTTAGTAAAAGACAGATTATTCTTGTTGCCATTGCCGTCGCTCATTCCATCAAACCTGAGCTCCGAGAAGCTCACAGCCGGACGACTATGGACGTCGTTGACGGCGGCAGAATCGTGGTGGAGAGCTCGAGAATGTAGCGTCTCATCGACGGCAGTTATGGAGTTGGTCATGGTTGTTCCGGCTGTCGGAACGGAACGACGAGCACTCTATTATCCTCCGCCCGATGTTCCCGCTACCATTGTCGCCTTCACTGGAGTCTTCCCCTATTGTCACCAACGCCGATCTCTGTTCAACGCCGATCATTGGCTTCGTAGTCTAGCTCCGCCATCGCCCCCCGATGTTCCCGCTACCATCGTCACCTTTACTAGAGTCTTCCCCTATTGTCACCAATGCCGATCTCTGTTCAACGCTGATCATTGGCTTTGTAGTCTAGCTCCGCCATCGCCCGATCCCAAAATCGACGATGTGAATCTTCATCGCTCTATAGGTGGCTTCGAAGATTGCTTGGTTTGCCGTCAAATGGGCGAATTTGGAGTGCGGTGAACTGGAACGAGGAGGGCTCGCCGGCGATGGCGGCTGTGACTTGGAATGGTGCTGCCTCAATCAAATTTTGTTATTTTTTTTTATCTTCTTTGTCTGCTAATGGACTTCGATTTTCAGATTTTGCTTATGAAAGTCAAATCCAGGATGCTAGCAAAAGGCCTGTCCCTCTCTCTACACACACACACACACACACACACACGTATGTAAACGTGTGTAGGTTACAGTTTCTTCCTTCAAAGTTTGGGGATAATTTTTGAGCTAACTCATCATTCGTTTCTAATGTATATTGTCTGTGATTTTGTTTAACGACGGCCATGGTGGTTCGGCTGTGAGCTTCTCGCCGAGATCAACACAATGACCCGGGTCCCCAAACTGGAACTCACCCACTCGCTCTGGACTCACCATGGCGCAGACAACTGGGCTTAGCTCGACGCGTTTCAGGAGGACGACGACAAGGGAGATACCATAATTTCATTCACGAAGGACCTGATTAGAGTCGCTGGGCAAAGCCGCCATCGAAGGTGTAGTTGTGGAGACGGACCGGACGGTGGTGGTGATGGTGTAATCTGTTTTATTGACGATGAACAGTGTGTATTTAGTATAAGGGCGTGTTTGGGTGTTTTAAGTGGTTTTGGGTATAAAGGTAAAGGGTTGTGTAGTCATTTAAAGAAATTTGGATTGTCACGTGACTATCATGTGCTCCTTCACGGTCAAATTCAACCGGCTTATCACCGAATGGGGTTAACTGCACCAAATTGGTTAGTTCAGGGAGGTTATATGTCAAATTAATAGATCAGGGGGGTTTTCTGCAAAATGACCAATAGTTGAAGGGATTTTTTTGCACTTTACCCTATTATATATATAGAAGGTAACTTTAAATGCTAAACTTAAACAACAAAAACAAAAACAAAAGGGACAATCCTATCATCAGTGGTATGTACTGATTTATAAATAATGGATGTACGTAAACCATTTGCAGAATGGATTGACGAGAAGAGCACTTCAGTGACCATAGGGAAGGGCGGTGTAAATGTTGACTTGGCAGGCGGAGGCAGTGGAAGCAATTCAGGTTACAACTATGCTACCGAGGATCAAGTACTTCATGACAACCGCAACATAGCTGTTTACTTTTTGGAAAATGACATAAAGACCGGCATGAAGATGAAGTTGCGCTTCACAAAAAGCACGAATCCAGCTACATTCCTACCTCGTCAGGTTGCAGAATCAACCCCCTTCACTTCCAACAAGATGCAAGAAATCTTGAATCACTTTTCGGTGAAACCCAACTCGGTGGAGGCTGAAATAATGAAGAAAACAATCAAAAGGTGCGAGGTGCCTGCAATGAAAGGAGAGGAGAAAGAAACTCAAGTCCAAAAATATAGCATTGCAGGAGCAGAAAAGATGGTGGGTGAGAAAGCAGTGGTGTGCCATGCGCAAAACTATGCTTATGCAGTGTTTTACTGCCACAAATTACAAAAAACCAAAGCATACATGGTTTCTTTGGTGGGTGCAGATGGTACAAAAGCTAAAGCAGTAGCAGTGTGCCACACTGATACATCACAATGGAACCCCAACCATTTGGCCTTCCAATTGCTCAACCTTAAACCGGGGAAGACTGTTCCTATCTGCCATTATTTCCTTCAGGAGGATCAAATTGTCTGGTTTGCTACCTAGAATTCGATCTTAGCTCCGTCCAGTACTATTGTTTGTACGTTTAAATTGTGGCAAGATTATAGGTGTCTGCGCTTTACTAGAATTTTCGTAAAGGTAAGAAAGAAAATTCTAAAAATTCGCTATAATGCATATGCTATGGAACTAGTTAGATGGGTATCTGTATGATGTATCATATTATGGAATAAAAGATATTTTCTTCATTTTTGTGCTATTTCACTATTGATTATGGTAGAGTACATTACTATTCAAGGGAGTTTCCTCCCGTAACAAATACTTAGTGTTATCAAAAAATAAAAATTATATAAATTCTGTTTGCGTATGTTTGGTTGAAAGGAATGATTAAAGAGAGAAGTTATAAGCGAAGTTTTTCATATTTGGTTAAAAGAAAAAGAAGAGGGAGAATTATGGACCTTATATTTTTAAAAAGAAATATGGAATATTTAGTGGGCCTAATTTAAATGGATTATGAATGGAGAAAATATTATTATTTTTTTATATAATAAATTTAATTATTAGTTTATTGTCGTGTCAATGTCTCTTTTTTAAATGTGTTTTTAAATCTAAGTGTCTCGCCTAGTTCATATAGTATTTTACCCAAGTACCGTGCATGTGCTTCCTAGTTTTTAAAATATCCAAACTAGTTTTTTTTTTATTTGTTTCTTTGAACATTAATTTTGAAAAAATTGTACTATATTTTGTTAAAATAAAAGAGACACAAAAGGGAGAAATTACCTACTTGGTTTGTAACTCGAAAATAGTTCTTAGAAACTCAGAAAATAGATAATAATTTTCTGAAAATACGTTTTTAGAACAATTTTCATTTTTATGGGAAGGTACTCTGTGTGTGTGTGTGTGTTCAGCCATAATATATTATAATTTTAATGATAGTTATATTTTTCCATAATATATTATAATTTTTAGTTTTTAGTTCTTATGATCAATTCAACCTTTGATCAAAAACAAATTGTCTCTCAACAATTTGATATTGGTAGTTGTTTGAAAAGATAATAAAGAAAAAATAAAGGAAATTTTTGTTATGTTTTTTAGTCATTAGGAATTCACTTGTAATTTAGAGGTATTTCTTCACTTTTCAAAGCAAAAGATAGAGAGCTGAAGTCCATTTAGGAACAAGTCTAAAGTCCGTGTAAGAATAAGTGAGAACGTATGAGTGTTTTTATTGTTATGATAAAAAAAGGTTAAATAATAATAATAATAGTAATAATTAGTAACACTCCTATCTTTTTCTTGTGTTTATTATTATTATTATTATTTTTTGAAGGATAACAAAAAAAATACTATTTTACGGATCACTTCTTTTCCCTCCTTACCCTTGTCCCTCCTATTATTTTCTCATTTTAAAATCAAACACAATGTTCCTTCTTTTTCATTTTTCTTTTTCTTTTTCTTCAAAAAATTTCAATTTAAGCACTCAAAGTTGAACCTTCTTGGCAATTTCTAATAAAAATAACTTAAAAAGGAATGCTTATATATTTAATCTTAACGTGAATTTAAAGTTTTTATAACAACTGATTGTCTACCTAATCATTTGATTGGAAGAATATGTTAAACACAATTTGAAAAGGTTAAGTGCAAAAAGCCCTCTTGATATATAGACTTTGTGCAAAATTAGTTCCTATTTTTTGAAAATATGCATGTAAGTTCACAAAATTTAAAAAATGTGCAAAACTAGTCCTTCTTACCACCTTTTTACAAAAGTAAAACTGAAAACCCCATTTTTACCCTTTTGTTTCCCATTTTGCCCCTCACCTATTTGTGCATATAACCCCCCCTAAACCCAATTCGTCTCTCTCACTCTGTATTGTTATGTTATATATATATATATATATATATACACATACATATATATCTTCTCCAGTGACCACATTCAAAACCCAAAACCTTGGCTGTGTATTTTTTTCGTTGTTATTCAGAAGAAATACTAATATCAATTAAACTGATAAAATCGAAATGGAACAAAATATTTTTAATCCATTTCTCTTCAATCATTCCTTTCAACCAAGCATTCCAATGGCTTACCACTAAAATATATTGTATGATTAATTTATAAGATTCTGAATTGGCGTTGATTTGGAACCTGATTTGGCAAATCAAACCAAACTAATCACAAAATCAACTTTAATTAAAACATTAATATCTCTGGATTTTGATTTTGTCGTTGATGTTTTTCCTTTCCTGGCAGCCATGGCTACGGGAATTCGACGCCGCCTTGAGTTGTGCATAATTATTGGGTTTGAATATTTGGGCAAAAAAGCTTTGTTTGGGTAATTGGAGGTGATGATGGGTTGGTGTGGGTTGGGAAAAAGCAACAAAGCAGCTTTGGTTTTCAATTGGAGGTGATGATGGGTTGATTTGGGAAAAAAAAACTTATTTTTTCAATTATGCAATGGCGACCAGCGAGAGCTTCACAACGGCGACCAGAGAATGAATATTACGACAATGATGCAACAAGAGGCAGCAACGATGAGCATCTATTAGTGGCGCGACTGAATCGGAGAGCAAAGAGGACTGAATCAGCAACTACTCCAGCAAAAACGATATGACGATGACTGTAAGGATGTCACGATTCCGGCGAAGGTACGGTGGTGGTGACGTTGATGATGGCTAGAGAAGATTAACTCTAAAAATATATATATATAGTATATACACATACAGATATGCATATCCATCTCTAACTATTCTCCCAGCTTCCTCTCAACTATTCTCCTCTTTCTCATCCTCTGCGACATCTCCTATGGCCGATTCATCACTGGCCGTCCATTCTTAGATCTCATCTCCGACGATGTCCAAGATGGTTTGCGGGGTCTGCAATTTCTCCGGCTCAATCTATTCTTTGCGGACAAGTCTTGTTATCAGACATATTGCTTCCTGCCCCACACCACCACCGTACTCGGCAATCTCTTCCTCATAATCGTCTACGGTTACCTGATGTTCCTCGCTGCTACGTACCTCTCCAGTGGAAGCGAGCTCTTGTTGGAGCTCCTTGACTTGGTCTTGTTGGAGGACACTTGCTTCCCACGCTCGACGCTTTACCAGATGCTATGCTCATTCTCGGTACGGGATCTGATTTCGATATTAATTTGTTTAATTTTGATTGGATTTTGCTTGTGTTTGGTGGCGGCGAGCAGTGGGTCTGGGGTTTGAATTGACGCTCCGATCAGTTTGTTGCAGAGGGTGATTGTGGTTGCACCAGGCGGTGATCAGTTGGAGGTTGGGTTAGGCAGTGATGGGTGGTGGTAATGGAGGTTGGGGAATGTTTGGTTTTAGTTTTAATTATATTCAGGCTTAGGTTATTCCTATTTTATACAATTTGAGGTTTATTTATCCTTCTGCCAAACAGACATAATTTTGCACAAATTTGGACAAAAAGGTCATTTTACATGGCCGGTATTTATAATCATTAATTTATTCAACTAAAGTGAGGGTATTATCGTCATTTTACACCACCACGTACCTATTCGCACCAAATTAATAGTGTAGAGGGGATTTTTACCACACATGGACTGATATGCACTATATCAATAGTAGAAGGGGTTTTTTTTGCACTTAACCTAATTTGGAAAGATTAATTAATATATATTTTATTTTTCAATACAAAATTATGTAATAACATAATAAAATTTAAATTATGCACCCAAAAACCAAATCATTGAGTTTCATTAATCTTTGTAATGGACCAACTTAGTGATTTTCACATTATTAGTGTAAATTAATTAAGTTGTAATCGCAAAGGTAGTAAAGTTGTAAGCTATTAAGTGCTAATTTATTTCCAAACCTTAATAAATTTTGAAATGCTTCTAATGGTCTCTCCCTCTCTAGATCGATTATGTGTATGTTAAATAATAATTAGCCCACATTGCAAGCGTTGCAAGTTCAATAAGGCCTAGCCCAAATTCGGAATTCAAACCCATCAATGAACTCACACTTGGGCTTTAAACTAGTCAATCCATGACTCAACAGTAAAAGTTCCGTGCCCATTTGGTATCATTCTTGTTTTCTATTTTCATTTTCTAAATGTTGGTATTAAAAAATTACTCTCTCCAGCTCTATATCTATATATATATATATCTATACTACAAACCAATCCTCCTTGAAACTTTTGGGGCTTACTTGGTTTGTAATTATAGAAACAATTTTCTGAATTAAAAATTGAAAATTATACAAAAAAAAAAAAAAAAACACTCTTCTTAGTTTTTTTTTTTTAAAACTGTTTTTGAAAACTCAGTTATAAAAATATGTATTTTTTAGACAGTTATAAAAATAATAGTTTTTTGTTTTTTGAATTCTTAAAAACTATTTTCAGTGTTATAAACTAAACAGCCTTTTGTTTCCACTGATTACACAACTCTTCTTTGAAACTCAGGAAGGTTAGAGAGAGAAAGTAGAGGGAGAATAAAGCAAAGGAAAATTTCACACAAGTGTAGAAGGGGTTTTGGGTTTGTGGGTAGAAGGGGTTAAGGGTATTTTAGTCATATAATAAATATTCTACCGGAATATAGTGTCGGTTAGGAAGTTTTTGTAATTTTAAAAACGTGAGAGATACTACATGTAATTAGACCTAACTTCAAAGAAAATAAGTGACATTTTTTTAAAAGTATATTAGGAAATGTATGATAATATATCATATTATAGAATAAAATATATTTTCATCTTGTTCCTTTTACACTTGATTATGGCGGGGTGCCTAATCCCAGGAATTCGAAAATAATAATAATAATAATACAGTATTAAAACATATGTACAACTTTATTATTACGAGGAGCATCAGGAGGACCACAAGATCATGACGTTGGAACAACCATACCATACAGTGTTTCGAGTTGTCCACTAAAAATAAGGTTTGAATTTGAAAAAGTTAAATATTTTGGGCAAAATAATAATAATAATAATAATTATTATTATTATTATTATTATTTTTTAAGCAACTTACGAATATGAGATTAAGATAAATTAAATGAATATTAAATATTTGAAATTAGTTTTTATGATTGAGGAAAAAATTAGTATACGTG